CCCCCCCCCCCCCCTGTTTTTTCCCCGTCACACACGGCGCACTGCTTTTTTCTGGGGATGGATGGATGGAGCATTCCTTCGATTTAACAAACAGCGAGCTAGTCACTTTGACTGACTGATCATTTCAGTTGCCACCAGGCTAGGCTCCCCCTGTCCCTCCCTCCCTCCCTGCATCCCTCCCTGCATCCATTCGGACCTGCCTGAGTGCCTCTCGATTTCCTTCTGTGCCGTGCCCATTATCTTTTTGTTTGTGTGTGGCTGCGTTTTGGAAGTTGCGTTTTGATTGACCACCGATGGAGTGACATGATTGATTGGCCTGATTGGGTGGGGGTGGGTGGGGTGCTTGGGTGGCTGGGGGCGTAGCATGCGGCATACTGTACAGCAGATATTTGTCGTCTTGTCGCTCTCTCCTCTCTCCTTCATGTCATGTTGTGTGTGTGGTGTGTGTGTGGTGCGTGTGTGTGGTCTGTTTTACAGCATTACAGTCAGTGTGGATGTGGTCGCCCTCTCCGTTCCGTTCCGTTCGTTCTCTTTCGGTGCGGTTTCTGCATGGGATTGCGTGGGTTGTTTTCGGGATGCCTGTCAAGCAGGCTGTCTGTCTATCCCTTTGTCGGTGTTGTCTGGATGGATGCGTGTGTAGAGTCCTAGCCGATGGCTGCACTCTCCTCTCCTCCCCTCTCCTCTCCTCTTCTCTCTCTCGTGTGTGTGTGTTTGTGCTGCGTGGGTGCGTGTGTCTTAGAGCCACCTTAGAGCCAGCCATTCCGTCAGTCGGTCACCGGCCCATCCAATCCACCTGAGTGAGAGAGAGAGAAAGGCTAGTCTATCTACCTACGGAAGTGCTTCCGCGGCTGCGGGCGGGCACTAGCTTAGCTGGCTATGAGCGAATGAATGATCGTGATTTAGTAGTTGATTGATCGATGCGCTGCATGGCGTACCGTAGCATAGCACAGCACTCCATCATCCTGTCTGTGTCCTGGGGCGTGTGTACGTGGCATGGCGTGGTACAGCAAGGAGGAGGACAGAGAAAAGAAAGAGCGATGGAACGATGGATGGATGGTTTTTAGGACGTGACGTGGCCCTTTGTCAGTGTCTTCGTGTGCGTGTGTGTGTGTGTGTGTGCGTGTGGGCTGGACACATTGCGATGCATGTGCCTGCGTGCGCTCAGAAATCATCCATCTGCGAGCATACCTCGATCGGTTTCCACACAACCTCCCATCCCATCCCATCCCATCCCATCAAAAGCGTTGCAGAGAACACCCAAGCCCCCACCGACCCCTCCCTCCCTCCGTCCGTCCGTCTGTCAGTCATGCAAAGAGCCATATGCACTCACTACAAACACAGAGCAATAGATATCGACCACCGGGCGCCATTTATTCCAACCGTCCACTTTATTCAAAGGGTATGGTGCCTGCCCTCCAGGGCGGCCAGTACTTGAACACCGCCCGGCCGATGACGTTGTCCGCCGGCAGGAACCCCCACACGTGCGAGTCCAGCGACTGATTGCGGTTGTCGCCCAGCATCATGACCATGCTATCCGGCACCTTGAACGGACCAAACATGTACCTGCCATACCATACCCCCCCCCC